GCAATGGATCGCAAACATTCACGAGATACGCATGAACGTGCTAGTAGAAGTAAAAAAGAAAATTCGTGGGTAATATTTACACTCGAGAAGCGGATACATCATTTGCAAGTACATCAGCTCAAAAATTATCCAATACTCAAGACGAGGAAATTATAGTGGACTCAGGACATGGTTATCGTATCATCGCTTTCTTATCGGTTTTTACTACGATATCTCAGTTTGTTATTTGCAAAGAATGCAAAGAACAAGTACGTTTCGGTGAATGTAGTACTCGTGGTTTAGGTTTCAAAATAGCAGTTCAGTGCAAGTGCAACACGAGATATATAAATTCCTGCCCTTTGATAGACAATAAATCGTACGAGATAAATAGGAGACTTATATTCGTCATGAGACTATTGGGCGTTGGTAAAGAAGGCATAAATTTATTTTGCGGTCTCATGGATTTATCTCAAAATTTCAATAATTATTTATACTATGCTGCGGTAGAAAATATTTATATTGGAGCAAAAACTGTTTTTGATATATTGAGAAGAAAAGCAGTAGAAGAAGAAAAAATTAAAAATTCTGAAAATGGCAAACCAATGGCAGAGATAACTGTTTCTGGCGATGGAACATGGAAAAAGAGAGGCTTCAATTCGTTATTTGGAATCACAACCCTTATCGGAAAATATACAAGCAAAGTAGTTGATCTCGTTGTAAAATCTGCTTATTGTCATGCTTGTAAACTATGGGAATCTAAGTGCGGGACTCCGGAATATTTAATTTGGCTAGATGAACATGTAGAAGAATGTACTACAAATCATGAAGGATCAGCCGGAAAGATGGAAGTTGACGCTGTAAAAGAAATGTTTCAACGATCCTGGGAATTGTCGCAAGTCAAATACGCTCAGTATATTGGTGATGGAGATTCAAAAACTTTTAAAGCTCTGTTAGATATTAATGTTTATGGTGATGACTTACAAGTTAAAAAAAAAGAATGCGTTGGGCACGTAGAGAAGCGAATGGGGTCGCGATTGAGAAACATTAAAAAAAGTCGAAAACTTGGAGGCAAAAATAAATTAACAGATACGTTAATAAAAAAAATAACCATTTATTACGGATTGGCCATCAGAAGACATTCAGACTCAGTTGAGAATATGTATAATGCTGTATGGGCCATATTTCATCATAAAATCTCAACAAATAAAAATCCACAACACATGTATTGTCCAGTGGGGCCAGATAGTTGGTGTAAATGGCGCGTAGCTGAAAGTAACAACACTCTTGACGAATTCGACCATGAACCGGCACTGCACGAAGATGTTCAGCAAGCCTTAAAGCCAATTTTTGAAGATCTCTCATCGAGAGAATTATTAGAAAGATGTTTGGGTGGCGAAACTCAGAACAATAACGAGAGTTTCAACTCTACAGTTTGGCGACTCGCGCCTAAACATCTTCATTGCGGAGCAAAAGTCATCGAAATCGCGGCTTATTTAGCAACGGGAATATTTAATGAAGGATTTTATGCTATCCTGAAAACAATGACAACAATAGGAATAATTGTAGGAGAAAAAGCAAAAATGTTTTCCGAAGAGCGAGACCAACACCGCCTCGAAAGATCAGCGCGACGAAGCCTCGAAGCCACCAAAGAAGCTCGGACAAACCGTAGACATGAACAAATGGCCAAAAATCAACTTTACGAAGAAGAGGAAGGACTGTTATATGGCCCTGGAATATCTGAATAACAGACAAATCATGTGAGTACTTGATATACTTATGTAAACTAAACTTAAAACTTTAAACGCTGTTTTCTCGAAACAACATTTTTACGGATGGTGTGCAGGATATTTTTGTAACCACTGAACCGATTACCTTCAAATTTGGCCTGCATGTTCAGCAAACATTACTTTATCGTTTGATGAATCAGAATATTGATAAGTTATATAGTTTTTTTTTTACATAATAAAAAAGGACGAATTTTGATAGTAAAAACTATAGTTTTGATTTAAAAATTAATAACTTTCGCAATAATTTTTATTTTTTAATTCTGATTCATCAAACTGAAACTACAAGTGTATAAAGTAAAACGCCGTTTCACTTTTTTGTTTCAGACTACCTGGAAGGTCAATATCGTGCACACCAGCACATGAAGATTTTTGCGCAGCGGTATATTTAATAATATGTAACTTCGGTATTTATCAGTAAAACTTAACAAAAAAAAACTGTACATTCTTAAAAGATGGATAAAAACATGGTGCAAATTTCGAATTAATTGGATAGTTAGTTTCGGAAAAAAAAATTCCTAAATTTTGCTATGTTTTTGACCCGAAAAACCTGAATCCCCCCTTAAAGAAAGATTTTGGATTTAAAAACCGTTTTGCACGTATGTATGTTACGTCATTCTCTTTCATAAAACCCAAAACAAAAATAACAGTTTTGTCAGCAAGTAAGGCACAATTATCGACATCATTTGTTCCAACACTGAAGGTTTAAAACTGTATACACGAAATATCGTTTTTTTTTATAAATCACGACTGGACCATTTTATGCAGTTGTATTACAAGTTCTTCAAATTTGCGATTGGATAACTCCTGTAAAGGTAGTCTAGGTTTATACAGTTTTTTTTAATTTTCTGCATATGATTTTCATATTTAAAGCAACTTAAATTGTCCATACATCCAAAAGTTTGCACATCCTTGGCAAGGTGAATAAGATTGTGGACATTATGTGAAAGATATTCATTGCCATAAATAGTACCATAATTGGAAACAAACCACAACAATAAGGAATGTACATAAATATTA